CTATTCTCTGACCTTATCTCATTAGACCCCAATGGCATTATGAAGGCAGACATTAGAGATAAATTTCGGGAGGTCCATAGGGAATTTGATGAGGTCTTCAGTCCACAGTTTAGGGCTATAATGGCGCTCTTGGCCCCTTCCAAGCAAGGGTAAACATGGGGCCTGTCCAGCCACCTCAGCGGAAGGGAAGGGTCCCGCAGTACTCCAGAGGCCAGCTGCAGGAACTGCAGGCTCAGTTTGATGCGCTGGAGTCACTTGGTGTTTTTCGAAAGCCCGAGGACATTGATGTCGATGTGGAATATGTCAACCCATCGTTTCTTGTCAAAAAGCCTAACGGGGGGTTTCGTCTTGTTACAGCATTCGCCGATGTGGGCCGTTATAGCAAACCCCAACCGTCGCTGATGCCGAATGTCGATGCCACACTGCGTCTGATAGCTCAGTGGAGATATATCATTGCGACAGACCTCACCAAGGCATTCTACCAAATTCCACTTTCCAAATCTTCTTTGAAGTACTGCGGGGTGGTCACGCCATTTAAAGGAGTCCGGGTGTATGCCAGATGTGCCATGGGTATGCCCGGCTCAGAAACCGCATTAGAGGAGTTAACCTGTCGCGTGCTTGGCGATCTTCTTCAACAGGGACAGGTGGCCAAGGTCGCTGATGACCTGTACTGTGGTGCCGATACCCTTGAGGATCTTCTTGCAGTGTGGAAAAAGGTCTTAGTGGCCCTCCAGGCATGCAATCTGTGCTTATCTCCCAGTAAGACGATCGTTGCCCCAGTCAAGACTAACATTTTGGGGTGGGTCTGGAATCAGGGTACTATTCGTGCCAGTTCGCACCGCATTTCAACATTGGCCTCGTGCACCCCTCCTGCGACTGTTAGAGGTCTGCGGTCCTTTATTGGTGCGTATAAAGTCCTAGCTCGTGTCCTTAAGGGTTGTGCGTCGATCCTTGCCCCCTTCGACAACATGGTCGCTGGTGGTGAGTCGACCGCTGCGGTTGTGTGGTCAGATGAGCTCCTCCAGTGTTTTCATAGGGCTCAGCAGGCGTTATCTACTAGTTGCGCTGTAACAATACCACGACCTGATGATCAACTTTGGATTGTCACCGACGGTGCTCTTAGGGATCCAGGGCTAGGCGCGACAATGTATGTTATGAGGGGGGAAAAGTTGTTGATCGCCGGACACTTTAGCGCTAAGCTTCGCAAAAATCAGATCAATTGGCTTCCGTGTGAGATTGAGGCCCTAGCTATAGCCGCTGCTCTGAAGCATTTTGGTCCATATATTATTCAGTCATCACAGAAGGCGTGTGTGCTCACTGACAGTAAACCATGCGTACAGGCCTTTGAGAAGCTGTGTAGGGGGGAATTTTCTGCGAGCCCACGCGTTACTACTTTCTTGTCTACTGCAAGCCGCTTTCAGGTCTCTGTTCGTCATGTTGCTGGGGCTGCTATTCTCCCTTCAGATTATGCTAGTCGCCATGCTGCACAATGTGACAGTCCGGCATGTCAGGTGTGTAGCTTCGTCCGTGAATCCATGGTCTCTGTCGTGTGCCGTACTGATGTTGCCGACATCTTGCGGGGAGCTCAGAAGTTGCCCTTTGCCAATAGGGCCACATGGGTGTCTATTCAGGCTGAGTGTCCAGACCTCCGCAGGGTACGCGCACATCTTTGGCAGGGTACATGCCCTTCCAAGAGAGTTACCAATGTCAAAGATGTGAAACGGTATTTGAATACTGTTACCTTAGCAAGGGATGGGCTGTTAGTTGTGCGGCGTGACACACCACTGTCAAACACAACCAAATGCATCGTTGTTCCAAGGTCAGTACTGCATGGGTTGCTTATGTCATTGCACATTAGGTTAGACCACCCCTCGGCTCACCAGTTGAGACTTGTCGTTGGCCGGTACTTCTACGCGCTGGACTTGGATTCAGCCATCCAGCTTACCAGTAAGGGATGTCACCAATGTGCTGCACTGACTAAGTCTCCTGTGTTCGCAGTGGAGCAGTCCAGCTGTGATCCACCTGAGACGGTCGGGTCTACTTTTGCAGCTGACGTGATTAAACGTGAGCGCCAGCTCATCTTAGTCGTTCGTGAGTGTGTGACATCCTTTACAGCTTCCTTGTTAATTGATGACGAGCGGAAGGAGACATTGCGGGATGGTATTGTGCGCTTGTGTATTGGCCTTCGTCCGCTTGATGGCCCCTTTGCTGTAGTTAGAACTGACCCAGCACCAGGTTTTTCAGCACTGGCCAAGGACACAGTGTTTGCTCAACACAGGCTGGCCATTGAGGTTGGCGATGCTAAAAATATCAACAAAAATCCGGTGGCCGAAAAGGCCATCCAGGAGCTACAGGGCGAGATTTTGCGACTAGAACCACACTGTGGGATCGTCACGCCCTTGCTGTTGTCTCGGTTAAATAGCCGTATTCGGTCAAGTGGCATGTCAGCCCATGAGATGCTGTTGCAGTGTGATCAGTTCTCTCTCGAACAGTTACCGGTGCATGACCGGGAACTGATTGCGTTGCAGCATGCGCAACGCCTGGCTAACCACCCCCACAGTGTTAAAGCTAAAGCTCCACTGAGTCGGGGTGCACTTAGCCTTGATATTTGCCCTGGCGATCTTGTGTATTTGTATAGCGACCGTAACAAGTCACGGGCTCGAATCAGATATCTTGTGCTTAGTTCAGACGGGATGTGGTGCAACGTCCGTAAGTTTACGGGTTCCCAGTTGCGGTGTGCTTCTTATAGGGTTCGCTTAACAAATTAACAAGCCGTCTCCGTCGGTTTCCCGACAAGTTAAAGGATTATGAGCTGCACTAGATGGGCTGCCTTCATCTGTATCCTTGCTTTGCTTTAAGGAAGTTGTGTTGATGCTTTGCATTGGTATTCTGTAAGGGTCCATAAGGACCTGCTGTGCTGTTGGCACCAGCGTATGCTTGTTGTTGTGTTGGCCATCGCCATTAAAGGCTAGACTAAACTATTCTCACGTGTCAGCGTTCAATGTACCTCAAAACTAACAATGTACACACTAGCTCAAAACTAAACAAACAGTCAAAAAATATATTTAGGCCTAAATTTAAGATTTATGTATTTGAATTGCTTCACATCTTAATCCTCTTTGTCCTATGTTAGGCATAATGTAGCATTTATTTCAATTGCATATAATAATTTTCATGAATTTTGATTAGTTTTAACATAAACTACATATGAAACACTGCATTCCAAAAAAGAATGGCATAGTTTATGATTAACTATTTGCATCTATTTGATTTTATTTAAAAATCATATTTTTAAAATGCATTTATTTATGCATAAATCTGTTCATTGTGAAAACAATAATACTTGTTCATTTAAAACCAAGTAAAAACATGGTTAAAAAGTATGAACATAGTTAAAATATGACTAGCTGTGGAACAAGCAATATTTAATCAGTTGAAATGTATGAGATTTAACGATATGATTAATTATTTGATGATAAATATATAAAGCTAGTAATTGTGTATTTAAAACATTTTCAGATTAATAGCACTATTACAGAAATTTGACCTCTTTCAATAATGTATGACTGACAAATATCAACAAGCATCAGATTAAGTTTATAAGTGTTTATGTTAAAACTTTGTCATCTGAATAAATAGAAAATTTAAATGCAATTCAAATACATAAATCTTAAATTTAAGCCTAAATATGTTTTGAGTTTAATTTCACACATTTAAGGAGAGGTCTTTAGATTAAAGGTTTTTAACATGAACTGAGTTACGTTGTCCAAACTTTGGTTAACTGTACTTTCTGATGCGTCATCACCCTTAACTGTGGTGAAATCAGTGTAACCGATCGTCTTCACTGTGTGTGTGTGTGTGTGTCAGGGCTCTACGCTTACTTTTCTTTTTAGAAGCGCTTGTGCTCCTAATTTTAAAAAATGTAGGAGCACGGTAAAAAAATTAGGAGCACCTTCTAATCAGTAATCAAAAATTCTGATAAAAAAAATTAACCTTCCCATTACGAGGTGATATTTGACTCCTTAAAGTGATTTACAGGGAATTTTGTTTTTACCTTTGTAATGGCATTTTTCTAACTTTATTAAAAGTATGTCATCTTTTATGTCAAATTTAAAATATATATATTTATAAGCTTTTTAACATTTCTAATTAAAACAACAGAATAAAAACAAGTAGAATAAGAAGTAGAATAAGAATAAGTTACCAATCAAATGAAATCAGTATTTAAGAAATAAATTTGTGCTACAGAGTTGGCACAGAAGAACACACAAGTGGCTTGTAGGTGTATTTTCAGACGTTTAATGAGGCTCAGAGGTCGCATGAGTGCAATTAAATTCATAAATTCATGTTGAGGTTAATGTTTTAAATATAACATTTTGAATATAGAAATATTAAATGATTTAAATAACAGAAAAGATGCTTTAAAAATTAAACTAAAACTGCCAGCGCTGCAGAAACACCTAAGTACGTTAGAACCTTTGAAGCTCCCTCAGCGCAAACACAAATATGCTGATCGGGTCAGTCGCACAGGTGCTCCTAAATATTATTTCATGATCATGACCTAATGCGACTGAAATGGTCACACTGTAGAACCCTGTGTGTGTGTTAAGGTTCTTACCGTTTCTTCATGAGCAGCACCACGCCGAGGAAGATGATGACGAAGAGCAGTATTCCTGCGATGACGCCGGCGATCTTCACCGTGTGGTCGGTCTGTTTCTCCGGCTCCACTGCGTTGGGTTTGTGCGTCGCCGCGCCTGAGATCAACCAAAGGTCAAAGGTCATACAGAAGATTGTTTGAGGCAAGACACTACACTTCATGCATGGCTCAATTTAGATATTTTGATCTATTTTGCTTCCATAACATGTCTTCATTCAGACTAGTGGAAAGAAAACAATGAAAAAGTGTTTATTTTATTGCACTTAATCCATTTGCATCTGTAGATTTCTGATACAATATATATCTTTAAAAGTTTTTTTTTCTCCACTTTAGTAACACTTACATACACCAAACTTAGAGGTTTATTCCTCTCTATATTCTGAAGGTTTTTACCGAGGGGTTTGTTCATATATCATTCACATTGATTTATTCAACATTTATTACTAAAAACATGGTAAAAATGCAAATCTTTGAAGGCAAATGAGTTTTTTCCCCCACTTCAGCAACACTTATAAATTCCAAAATTTAGAGTTTTATTCCTCTCTATATTCCGAAGGTTTTTACTGAGGGGTTTGTTCATATATCATTCACATTGATTTATACAACATTTTACTCCTAAAAACATGGTAAAAATGCAAATCTTTGAAGGCAAATGAGTTTTTTCCCCCACTTCAGCAACACTTATAAATTCCAAAATTTAGAGTTTTATTCCTCTCTATATTCTGAAGGTTTTTACTGAGGGGTTTGTTGATATATCATTCACTCTGATTTATACAACGTTTTATTCCTAAAAACATGGTAAAAATGCAAATCTTTGAAGGCAAATGAGTTTTTTCTCCACTTCAGCAACACTTATAAATTCCAAAATTTAGAGTTTTATTCCAATCTATATTCTAAAGGTTTTTACTGAGGGGTTTGTTGATATATCATTCACTCTGATTATACAACATTTTATTCCTAAAAACATGGCAAAAATGAATTATTTTCTGTCTGTTGACAGTATTTTCTGATTTGTGGAGTGATAAAACGAGAAATATAGAATCCCATCAGTAAAAGCCTTTAAATCTAATATTGTCAACAAAATCAAACAAGAATTTTGATCCTGGCTTTATCCAGTGTTCAGATTTGTTCTGGAAATGTCTGCAAATCAGTGCATATTTGATTAGATAATGCCTCATTTCATATTTAAACATAACATTTCATTGTTATCTAATATCATCTATATGCTGGTGTACGATTGAAAGTGTGCATTGATCAAATAAAATAGAGCAGCAGATATAGATATTAAAAATGTACAGAATACTGATGACATCATTTCCTGCTCAGGGATGGGACCAGAACCCTTAACTTCCTGCTTTAGTAGTAAACACAGGAAATACAATTGTGTTTATCCTTTAATTCATTCAGGTTCCAGGATTTTCTCTCTTTGTTTGTCAGTGAATGTGTTTGCCGAATCTGAAGAACCACATTCATCCACTGATATAATCAAACCTTACAAATCTTGGGTCTGTTTTAACATTGAATATAACACACAATCCAATAAATGCAGCTCATGCACATCAGTCTGATAATGACAGAGAGAGTTTGTGATGACAAATGAAAGAGATATGTGTGTGTTTAAAGAAACGTTTGCCTGAGAGACTTTATGGACTTAAAAACATCTAAATTCATGTTTAGCATCATACGTTTAAAAAAAACTCAAACAATGGGTGCAGATTTCTTTCCTGTTTTGACACACTTTTTACTAAAAGAGGACATTGGGTTGGTGGAGGCTCATTTGGTTATTATCGTTAACTAAAACCATAAAAAACTTCGAAATAATAAAAAAAAAAAAAAACTGAAATAAAATATAAAAAAACCTTAAACTTATTTTATTTCACCTAGTTACCAAGACAACATTTAGCATTTTCATTTGGTTTAACTTAAAGTACTAAAATAACAAAAACTAAAACTGATATAAAAATGAATAAAAACTATATAGACATATTTTTAAAAAAAATACTAAAACTTTTAATTAAATTAAAATGAAGATGGAAAATTGAACAATTATTTCAAAATATCAATAACAACTATCAACAATACAAAAATAACATTGATCCTAGAGAGAATCTGATTGGTAAAAAAAAAAAAAAAAAAACTTGAACAAGATGATGTCATCAGCGCTTCATCTCTGCTAATATTATGTTAGAGACAGACTCAAATTCATCCACACACACATACAGTGAGTGAGTGAGTTTCTGACCTGTTAGCTGATTGTCTCCAGCGGCTGGAGCGATGCGAACGTAAGGAGTGGTGAGCTGCGTCACCAAGATAGCAGCTGCAAGAACAAGATCCACACACATGCAGAAAGACAGAGATAGAACCAGTGTGTGTGTGACAGAGAGAGAGAGAGAGAGAGAGAGAGAGACAGAGGAGAAACAAACAGAAGAAAGAGAAGAAAACAAGCAGTTACTGAAAACCTGCACAACAGACACTCAAAAGCAGAACATGCAGAACTTCATCTTCATACATGCTCGTTTTTAATCCTGGGTTGTCACGTCTCTCGTCTCACACTGCTCTTACTTTAACCTGGATTAGTAATTAACCCTGGGTTAATGTTCTTATTTGCATGTTTACAAGGTTAATAACATTGACTGGACAAGTGATGCATGTGAACCATTTCAGAAACCAAATCAGGCTACAACACTAACAGCATCTGTTCAGTCTGTCACTGCTGCGTCATGCTGATTACATGCACTATGTTATGTGTAAAATTAATCACATTTTCAATGTCTGCTTGCATAAGTTAGAATGCCTACCTTTGGTAGCGACACGGACACAGTCGATTTTTGTCTCCTGAAAAACAAAAATACATACAAAATATCAAACATCTGAATGATTCAATAGAACAAATAATTTACGTTGGCCAACATGTGCTGCTTTTAAATGTGCTTAAGAAATAAATATTGATTAATTAATTGATTGATTGATACACAGAGATATTCATCATCATCCTCTGTGATCTTCTAAAATTAATTGTGCTAAAAAATCTGTTGAATATTAAATTATATTCTTAATTGAATTTATATTATTTTATATGCTTAATTGTGTAAATATGCACTTTCTCATTGACTGTTCATTGTGTATCTTTAAAACATTTTTGAGCTCTGGAAAGGTTCCATATAAATTAAATATAATAATAATAATAATAATAATAATAATAATAATAATAATGTTCATAGTAATAATTAGTTGTAGTATTAATAGTATTATTATTTATGGTAACAACAATACTACTACTACTACTACTAATAATAATAATAATTATTATTAGTAGTAGTAGTATTAGCATTATTATTTGTGGTAACAAAAACAACAACAACAACAACAACAACAACAACAATAATAATAATAATAATAATAATAATAATAACAGAACCTCTCCAGAGCTTTTACAGTAGTGAAAAAATTAAATAATAATAAATATTTATTATAATGATTACAGTATTAATTATAATGCTGTTTATTATTATTATATTACATTTTATTATAATGAATAAATTACATTCTACTAATAATCTGTTGATAGAAGTGTATCATGTGCATCAGATGATGTTCACTGATGAAGTTCCAGTGGCTCCAGTGTTTTCTTCAGGAGTAAATAATGTTTTACTCTTGTCAGCAGAATGAAAACAGTCCAGTAACTGGTTCTGCTGCTGCATGACTCCAGTGATGTATATGCTGATATATTTTCTATGCCTGCTAAGCAGCTGCGGCATTAAAAGTGCATTTCAGCCAAATGCTGTATGTGAGCGTTCAGTATGAGCACCTGGAGCACGACTCGCTTTAGCGCCTGTAATCAAACTAACGTCTGACATCAGTCTTCAGCTACACAAACACCAACAACAAAGCACCGCGTTCTGCTTTATTACTGCTGTTCTTTAATATGCCGACTGCTGTGCTCTCTAGTTCTGTCAGTTTATCAAAGCCAGCATACTGTTATGGCACATAAACGGTGTTTCAAAAGACTGAAACTCTTGCTAGAGCTTTAAAACTACATCTGTTAAAATTACCACCATCCTTTAGGTCTTTCTAAACAGCCCAACAACCACCTAGCAACACAAAAGTAACCTCTCAGAACACCTTGGCAATGCACTAGCAATGCCCTAGCAACCACCAGAACCTGTGCAACAGTCTAGCAATGGCCTGACAACTGCCTAGTAACCATCCAGAACAACCTACCAACGCCCTAGGATCCACAGAACCTGTGCAACTGTCTAACAATGCCCTAACAACACCCTAGCACCTATCCAGAACAACCTAGCAACGCCCTAGCATCTACAGAACCTGTGCAACTGTCTAACAATGCCCTAACAACACCCTAGCACCTATCCAGAACAACCTACCAACGCCCTAGCATCCACAGAACCTGTGCAACTGTCTAACAATGCCCTAACAACACCCTAGCACCTATCCAGAACAACCTACCAACGCCCTAGCATCTACAGAACCTGTGCAACTGTCTAACAATGCCCTAACAACACCCTAGCACCTATCCAGAACAACCTACCAACGCCCTAGCATCCACAGAACCTGTGCAACTGTCTAACAATGCCCTAACAACACCCTAGCACCTATCCAGAACAACCTACCAACGACCTAGCAACCACCAGAACCTGTGCAACAGTTTAACAATCTTCTGACAACTGCCCAGTAACCATCCAGAACAACCTAGCAACCCCCTAGCAACCACCAGAACCTGTGCAACAGTCTAGCACCCATCCAGAACAACCTAGCAACACCCTAGCAACCACAGAACCTGTGCAACAGTCTAACAATGCCCTAACAACACCCTAACACCCATCCAGAACAACCTAGCAACCACAGAACCTGTGCAACAATCTAGCAATGTCCTAACCACACCCTAGCACCTATCCAGAACAACCTAGCAACACCCTAGCAACCACAGAACCTGTGCAACAGTCTAACAATGCCCTAACAACACCCTAGCACTTATCCAGAACAACCTAGCAACAACCTAGCAACCACAGAACCTGTGCAACAATCTAGCAATGCCCTAACAACACCCTAGCACCTAATCCCCTAGCAACTGCATGCATCCAGAACAACCTAGCAACACCTTAGCAACCACCAGAACCTGTGAAACACCCTATCACCCTTTTAGAACAGCCTAGCAACACCCTAGCAACCACCAGAACCTGTGCAACAGTGTTACAATGCCGTAGCAACTGCCTAGGAACCTTAACATCCCAGAAATATCCCAGAAATCACACACACAACCTGCAAATTAATTAATTAATTTCCCACAAAATATCTAAAAATGCATGAAAAAATAAAAACACTAATTTACCTGAGAAGCAAAACTGCATAGCATATTAAAAGTTGTTTTCATAGCCTGTATCTTTAATGCAAGTGTATTTTGTCTGACTGCACTGGCAGAGTGCACAAAGAACTAGGCTTAATATCTTATGCAGTCAATTGATCTTATTATAAGGAACTTTAGATGCTTTAACTGGAAAATTAGACACAAACACTTATTAAGAACAGGATTTTTTATTTTTTTGCAACAGCCCTGAACATCTCAGCAAATGTTATGTTTCCCAGCAAGCATTGAGTGTTTTTCTAATCTTCAGCTTGTCTTACACTGTATGGTGGCATTTAAACACACACTTCCACCTCCAGCCATCCATTAGAGCCTAAGATGACCTTTGACCTGCTGAACGAGACTCACGACAACATAAACAAACACTCGTCCTGCTATTATAAAGAAAAGCAAACACAAATGTGCATTTAGCAGCACATCCTGACTGCACTGAAAGGCCTGACTTAATGAATTACAGCTCTTGAACAGACAGACACGAGGGCCGTCTCGGTAAGTGCCTGTCTGCATCCATCAGGAGGCTAAAACACAGATCCTCAGTCAATTAGGACATCAATTACAGCCGCCAGCTCCTCCTCTGCCTTTTACAGCAGCACGACTGCCAATCCAAACGGCGTGATTTCTTTAAAAGCATGACGAGAGGTGAGAGAGAGCGATGCATTAAAGGGGTCATCGGATGCAAAATTCACTTTTACATGTTGTTTGAACTGAAATGTGTCTTGGCAGTGTGTGGACACAACCACCCTATAATGCTAAAAATCCACCAAGTGTTTTTTCCAAATCCCGAGAAATGATAACCCCTTTTTCAAATCAAGCCGATCTCAGATTCTTGGCTGTGTGAGGTCACACAGACCCAGGCTGCTCTTTGTTTATGCTTTGTTTCTGAAGGGAATGCGCCCCCTGCTCTACGTTAATGCGTCTATGTTTGCGCAAATCATTCGTGATCCAGCTTCACCTACAGAAGAAGTGAGCATAAGTTTTTTTAAAGAATCTTTGCAAATCGTCTTTCCTAATAATGTGCTAGTTGGCGAGTTCCGCGGCTAAATGCGGCTAAAGTCTCAGAGAACGGCTCGTCACACTGCAAAAAATTATTTTCTTACTCAGTATTTTTGTCTTGTTTTCTTTGAACTGAAATGTGTCTTGGCAGTGTGTGGACACAACCACCCTATAATGCTAAAAATCCACCAAGTGTTTTTTCCAAATCCCGAGAAATGATAACCCCTTTTTCAAATCAAGCCGATCTCAGATTCTTGGCTGTGTGAGGTCACACAGACCCAGGCTGCTCTTTGTTTATGCTTTGTTTCTGAAGGGAATGCGCCCCCTGCTCTACGTTAATGCGTCTATGTTTGCGCAAATCATTCGTGATCCAGCTTCACCTACAGAAGAAGTGAGCATAAGTTTTTTTAAAGAATCTTTGCAAATCGTCTTTCCTAATAATGTGCTAGTTGGCGAGTTCCGCGGCTAAATGCGGCTAAAGTCTCAGAGAACGGCTCGTCACACTGCAAAAAATTATTTTCTTACTCAGTATTTTTGTCTTGTTTTCTAGTACAAATATCTAAACATCCTTGAATCAAGAATCAAGATGCATTTACTTGACAGGTAAAATGACTTAAGATATTAAGTCTTGTTTTCTTAAAAAAAATATCAAAATTTTGTTAGTTTTTGCTTAAAACGAGCAAAAATATCTGCCAATGGGGTAAGAAAAGTAATCTTAATTCAAAGGCTAAACAATATTATTTTTTTTACCCCACTGGCAGATATTTTTGCTCGTTTTAAGCAAAAACGAACACAATTTTGATCATTTTAAGTCATTTTACCTGTCAAGTAAATGCATCTTGATTCAAGAATGTTTAGATATATTTTTACTAGAAAACAAGACACAAATACTAAGTAAGAAAATCATTTTTTGCAGTGCACCGTACGGAAGAGAGGGGCGGGGTCAGCAGAGCTCATTAGCATTTAAAGGGACATGCACCAAAACGGCTAGCTGTGAACAGAGCTGTTTTTGACAGGGTAAAAACAGTGTTTTTTACACTACCATTGAGAAATTTTAACCAAAGTATGTTATAGACTTTTCATTAAGACCTTAAAGAATCATATCAACTTGTGGAAAATGGGCATCCGATGACCCCTTTAAGTCAAAGCGAGGTAATGCGAGCATCACGCGTGACACTCAAAACAAAAGTATTTTTCTGACTCGACTGGCAAATATTTTTTCTGGTTTTAAGTATAAACTCACTTAATTTCGATCAATTTCTCAGAAGGCAAGATTTGATAGCATTACATCATTCGCTTCTCCAGTAAATGCATCTTGATTTAAGGATATTTAGTGCTGGAAAACAAGACAGAAATACTGATGAAGAAAATCTTTTTGCAGTGAATAAGTGCCAAATGCAAGTAAAAACCAGTCTTTGGCATGCAAATAAATACATACATACATCTGGTAACTTTCTTAGGAAATGCAACCTCACATGGTTTTAATGTACATCTGAAGTTCATTCTGAGCTCAGTTTCCTCTTACAGTAGCTACATTTACATGCACTCAAATAATCCATAATTGTATTGAAAAGCCTTCATGTCAACACATCAGCCGATATGATAGAGCTCCATCCGAATGCACTTTCAAGACCTGAACTATTCCAAATTGAGAAATTTTAACCAAAGTATGTTATAGACTTTTCATTAAGACCTTAAAGAATCATATCAACTTGTGGAAAATGGGCATCCGATGACCCCTTTAAGTCAAAGCGAGGTAATGCGAGCATCACGCGTGACACTCAAAACAAAAGTATTTTTCTGACTCGACTGGCAAATATTTTTTCTGGTTTTAAGTATAAACTCACTTAATTTCGATCAATTTCTCAGAAGGCAAGATTTGATAGCATTACATCATTCGCTTCTCCAGTAAATGCATCTTGATTTAAGGATATTTAGTGCTGGAAAACAAGACAGAAATACTGATGAAGAAAATCTTTTTGCAGTGAATAAGTGCCAAATGCAAGTAAAAACCAGTCTTTGGCATGCAAATAAATACATACATACATCTGGTAACTTTCTTAGGAAATACAACCTCACATGGTTTTAATGTACATCTGAAGTTCATTCTGAGCTCAGTTTCCTCTTACAGTAGCTACATTTACATGCACTCAAATAATCCATAATTGTATTGAAAAGCCTTCATGTCAACACATCAGCCGATATGATAGAGCTCCATCCGAATGCACTTTCAAGACCTGAACTATTCCAATTGATAGGAAAAAGTTAAGCACCTAAACACTTGATTTCAAACATTCCTACTGTACATGTTCATCAAAGCCCGTTATAATATGACCTCTGCTTACATACATCTTACTTTTTACAAACTGGTTGCATAATGTTAACACATAAATGTAAATGTAATATTTTAATCTTTTTTTTTAGGTAAAGTTGAGTCATTTTGTTGTTGTTTTCTGTCATTTTTAGTTTTTTTTTTTTTTTTATATATCTTTATCATTTTTATACATTGTTATTTCGGTTTTTGCTTTAGTTATTTTTAGTACATCAAGCTACACTAAATTAAAATTAAAATTGCACTGCCAGTGCAAAATATCTTAACATTCTGAAATCAAGACACATTTATTGGAGAAGCAAAATGACTGAAGATATTAAGTATTGTTTTCAAAAAAAAAAAAAAAAATTCTTAAAATGAGGAAAAAATATCTTCCAAGGAAGCAAGAAAAGTAATCTTGTTTTCCTATTGAAACAAGATTAATTTTCTTACCCCATTGGCAGATTTTTTTCTTGTTTTAAGCAAAAACTAACATAATTTTGATCATTTTATTTTTTTCCAGAAAACAAGATTTCATATTTTAAATCATTTTTATTCTCAAATAAATGTATCTTGATTTAAAAACGTTTACATATTTGTACTGGAGAATTATTTTTTTAAGATTTCATATTTTAAATCATTTTTATTCTCAAATAAATGTATCTTGATTTAAAAACGTTAAAAACGTTGTACTGGAGAACATTATATATATATATATATATATATATATATATATATATATTCAGTTTTATGTTACATGACAATAAATATTGTCAAAAGGTTTTGAATTGTACTGAATTCATTTGATTTGACAGTCAGGTATTGATTACATGCAAATGTTGATAGAACTACTAGGCTACTTAAATATATATCACACTAACAAGTTAGACATTATGATCTTCCGGACCTTTGCTTCAAGAAATTTTCTCTAACTGGACCTCTTTAAATTTTAGTTGAATACCCCTGATTTAAACAGTTGATTCATTCAGGAACGAAACACTCATGTTGCTCAGAGACGCAAAACAGCGTTGTGGCTGTGTTTGGAATTATTTGTGTTTGCCAAACGTGGCGTAAAAACAGGAAATATGTTGTCTAAAACGTAAGTTTCTTAATTAACTTCTTGTTTATTGAACTGTTGTAAAAAAAATCTATATCACATTTGTAATTAATGATAGTAATTTTTGGAGAAAAAAAAGCACTCTTTGTGTGAAATTGATTAACTATATGAAGCGGTATATATATACGCATTTTCTGCCCCCATGTCTTGAATTTGTGATCATCCTAAATGTTTTTTAATAGACTGAATCGTGCAGTGAAAGAATGCAATCTAAATGCAAGCTCTTGTAGGGGTGTTTTGAATGGTTTTTGCAAAATACTCGATAATGTCAAATCGCACATAGTTAAAACAACAAATTACGATATTAAATCGCAGACGAAATATAATCGCACACCCCTACTTTCCATTGATTAAAATGTTCTTTATAGTGAATTATTAGAATGTTTCTAAGAACGTTTCACTGAAAGGTTCTTTGGGAAATGGCATCTCTATGAAAACCCCCTTTTGAAACCTTTATTTTTAAGACCGTAGCTGGAGAGAGAAAGAGACGGTGATATGGAGGGGGAGTGGCAGAGCCTAGCCGGTTATAACCGGCCCTCTTGACTCCGAGGAGCTTGCGGTCCCTATAGTACAGTTACAAAAAGACAGCTGGGTTTGCCTGTTCAAATACATCCTTTGGTTTTCTATTAGTCTTTGTCATTTGCACCCAGCTCTAGCGGCTTCATTTCAGGACTGAAAGGTCTCAAAGGCCCAACAAAGGTCATACAAAAAGCAGTGCTTAGATGATGACAGCAACACTGAAGCTAAAAACAACAAACAAAGGAACAAAGACAATAAAGGGCCGGGCGGCATGATGGTATAATACGGCTTGACAGTAGAAATATATCAACCGGTAGAGATTTTTGCTCCATTGTTTACAGATGGATATATTTGTGCGACTATTAGTGGGCAGGATCGCTTTACGTAATTTACATGTGAGGGCGACGAAAAACGTGGAGTGAAAATACAGAATGTGATATGCCCAAAAAAAGACAAGGAAGAACTTAAGCAACATTATTGCCAAGCTGAGTTTAGTTGTTGCCAAGTAATGATTCAACCTGCGCTTTAATATGATAATGCAGTCACATTTGTGAGTATTTCATATTTCACAAAGTGGCTCATCCAGTCAGATTTCAGAGTGGAGACTGTTTTGTAATATTATTTGTAACTGTTTTTTTTTTTCAACTCGAGTTTCTCTAAAGCTGGTTTGAGGCACTTGTGTAAAAATGCTGTAAAATGAGGATGCTGTCATAAATAGATTTTCTTTATCAATTAACTTCTAGTAACTAAATGAAATCAACATTTGGTGTGAGCATCCTTGTGTTTGAAGCAGCGTTTGCTCTCGGTGCACTTGAGCGGAGTTTCTCAGGAGCTTTGCAGGAGGTTTCTAGAAGCATCAGTTCTTCTGGATTGAGTCTGTCTCAGTTTGTTCTGTTTCTTCATGTGACTC